TGGTAAATGAATGAAGCTCCGAGTTGGGAGCGGCGGCCTGCGAAACCGAGCTGGGGCTGTGGGAACCTGAAGGGCTGTTTTGAGGGAGCGACGGTTGCACTTGCAGGGGCAGACCTGGCCCGGGAGGAGAGGCAGTGGGGTCCGGGGAGACGCCCGAGCTGGGAGGGGAGCGCTCGCCCTGGGTCCGGCTCGGGTCGGGCTCGCGCCGCTCTCGCCCGCGGGGAGATGGGCGCTTTGTTCCTGCGGACGGTCCCCCCTGGGGAAAGTTTGCGGTGCGGCGTCCGCGGCCCACTCTTGAGGACGTTTCTGGGCATAACTGACTTGGGGTCGCCTGCAAGTTACTGGCTGATTGTCTGGGAGGCGGAATTTTAAACGTCACCTATTATAGACTCCTTTTGAAAATATGCTCATACGTATTTCGAATGTGCGCCTTTTGCCAGCAATGGAAGCAGCCCTCCAAAAATCCCGTGAAATGACTTCACTTTCCTACCAGCTAATGCTTCCAAAAGAGTAAAAAGTCATTTTGTGTTCATTGAAGGATTTCTTTTGTTGATATTGTATATTGTGCTTTGTGGCTTACNGCTTCCAAAAGAGTAAAAAGTCATTTTGTGTTCATTGAAGGATTTCTTTTATTGTATATTGTGCTTTGTGGCTTATTATTTTAGCATCTCTTTCTGCATGCCTCGGAGTTCTCCAGGACTCTCTTATCTCTAAGATTGGCATTGCTATGTGTTTCTTTTTCTCTCACTATAACACTTCGACTTTTCTACTCCTTTTTACCAGTCTAAATAATTTTTATTTACATTATCTACCTTGTGCTACCTATCTTTGGATGGTCGGGATAGTCTTTTTGTCTCATTTTGTTTTATCAGCCACGCCTTTTATTTCTTATTCTGGTTAACTTACTTGGATTTTCAAGATTTTAAGAATTAAACAGTTTATGGAAATGAAAATTACACTTCATTTTAAATGCTCTATTTTAAAGTGGAGTATTAAGGTTTGGATTCAAGCTGTGGCTGACTTGAACTTCACAGAGCTCCTAAGGTTGTGCACACACACTGCACCCCAGTCAGGCTCTCTTCTCTTCTTTCCTGAGATTGGACTGAGTCTGCACCTTGGGGCCACCTGCCCTGGCCCAGGAAGAGTTCTTATTTTGGTCGTTTGGCCTCATCTGTTCTGACCAGAGAAAATCTAAATATATATAGTCCTTTAAAAAATAATAATAATAAATAATAAAAACTAGCAGTTGCATAATGGCATCTTTAAGTTTACCATGTGCTTTCATATAAATAATTACACTTAATTCTTATAAGAGCCCTGTAAAGTAGAGAGGAATATATCTCTTTTATACATTAAAGGAGGCTCTAAAGCAATTCAATGTATGGTCATAATTAGAAAAACAAGGCTTGATCCCAACTCTGCTGGCTTAAAAACCTTTGCTCTTTTTGTACCCTACTAGCATATAAAAGATGTTGTAAACTTTGAGATCTATCTTAGAATGGTGAAATTCTTTCATAGCAAAAATAGCTCCAACAGTAAGAGAGATCTTATAGAGGTATTTTTGTGTTTTTTTTTTGAGAAATTTCATAGGCAGTTCGGAGCCTATTTTCTTTATGAAGCACAGTTCCTCTTGATTACAACCCAAAATTAAAATTAGGTTGTCCAAGGAAATTAGCAGAATTGTATACATAAATTGCTAGAATTTATGTCTAATTCTAATTACTTGGAAGAAGTACTTAAACTCTACGTAGCTTTCCTGTCTAACTATAAATTATTATTACTCCTATCTGGCTGAGTCAATATTATTGCCTAGATAAAAATATGAATTTTTTTATCCTGTGCGTGGGCATTCTCTTGTGTTGAAGACTTATTACAGGACAAGTGCCTGATTTACATCCTTCCAAAAATCAGAACAAGACAGTGGGGTTGAAAGATGGGCAGAATGGGAAGCATTCTCCTCACTTCATTAAGTTAATGAGAAAGATGAAATTGGGCTCTTTGCTGCTCTTCTGCCAAATGTTTTAGGTAGGAGAGTGGATTGGAACACAAAATGATTAATGAACCAAAAGCCCTTTGGACTTCAAATGGTATTTGTGTGTGTGTTTAACTGCAAGAATTGGCCATCATTCCAGTGATTTGCCAATATTATTCTGGGATTCTGATTCTGGGAGAGGGTGACCAAGTACTGATCAGAGTAGAATAAATAGCAATTCATGGCTGTTTTAAGGGATTCTGTAATAGCCCTCTCTTCCCCCCCCCCCCAAAAAAAAAGATTTATTGAGTGGAACTGAGTGGGGCAGTTCTCTTGCTGCCTCTAAATCTTTACTTCATTATATCACATAGCCTGAAATTCTACCATGATATTCAGTTGAGTTCAATTCAGTTGATAGTCACTCGAGTTCTTTATTCTGACATTTTCTTTTTTTTAAAAGGCGTAGAAAGAAAGACAGTGCTGCTTTAAAGTAGTATTTAAAATCAGATGCCACAGTGCTAACAGTAATTGCCATTGGATTAAGCATATCTTTTCTTACAAAATTTCTACAATAAACTTTATTTTAGACAAATTCATTTTACTAGATTACTTTTTATCAGATTGATTGTTAAACACAGGCAAAAGGAATGAAGGTTTGATAGTGCACTAGAGGAAGATAAGTTTATCTTACTGGGTCTGATTCTGGTGGTGAGCAAGTATATCTGTGTAGGGCTTTAATAACCAATGGGCTTATGAATGCACATGCATAGGGAAGAAGGAATTCTGGAGATGAGAAAAAGGCACAATGAGGCCAGTTTGAGACTTTGACCCCTTCAGATCAGGGAATACTTGGGAGCATCACGCTAGTACCAGTTTTGGAAGAGATGCTAAAAAGATCTGCTTGACTGCACTGGAAAAAGTAGCAAGAATGTTTTGGTTTCCATGTTATTGTTCAGACTGTGGAGTCTTATAGACTGGATTTGAATTCCCAGCCTGACCACACCACCACCACCTGTCCTCTCCAGCCCCTGCGCCCACCACCACATACACATTTGCTGATCTTTGGTCAAGGTTAGGTTACAAATCTCTGTGGTCTTTGGTTGCCCATACAAAACATGGGGCTGGTGCTACTTTTTATCTCACAGTTTGTTAAAGGAATTACAACATATTTGTATAAACATTTCATTAAATATAAAACCATATTTAGACATTGTCTTTTTTTCACTGCGATTTCTTTATATGTATATGTGTGTGTGTGTATATCTATGTAATTGATTTTAGACAGAGGGAGAGAGAGAGAGAAACATTGATCGGCTGCCTCTTGCACACACCCCGGCCCACATCCCTACCAGGGATCAAGTCCACAACCCGGGCATGTGCCCTGACCAGGAATCGAATTGGTGACTTTTCGGTACACAGGATGACAACCAGTTGAGTCTCACTGGCCAGGATTGCAGTCAATTTCTAATAGTTCTACTAACACCTATGTAGTTATATTAGATAAGCTAATTATATTAAGCCTGAACCAACTAAAGATGCTTCCCCAGAAGTTCAGTGTACTCTAATGTACACTAAGTTTCATTGGACCAAAGCATATTTAACCTGAAAATTCTGTGGGAAGCAGTATGGCATAATGGCTAAGCACACAGACTTTGGCTTCAAATGGACCTGAGTTCAAATGCTTAAGAAATGTGACTTTAGGCAAATTAAGTCCTCTAAACCTCAAGTTCTGGCATCTCTAAAACAATAACACCTACCTTGAAGTAGTATTGGGAGGATTAAGTTACGTAAGGTGTGGAAAGCACCTTATAATGGCTACTTCTGGTAAATTCTCAATGCATAATAGATGTATTTCCATATAATTTCCTTTTTGAACAGTCATCTCAAAATTTGTATGTAATCAGTATAATTTGTGAAAAGATAGAAATTAGTCATGTTCATTTAACTCAGCTGCCAGTGGTTAAATCCTAACTGCTCATTAGTTATTTAATGGAATTTCACTTGCTCTTATGTTCATCTTTTCTCCTGGGAAATTATGTCTGCCATAGAAACAGTTATTTTGGTAAATTCTTTTAAGGCATTTAAGCATGAAAGTATCAGCCCCAAATTTTCATAAAAAATTAGTGTCTGTGGAAACACTTATCAGTGTATTTATAGACAGGTACCTGAATTCTTTCAGACTAACTGGGAGAAAGAGGTCATGGAATGGAAGGCAGTAGTTAACTGTAAATTGATGAAGTAGAGAATGTAGAAAAAGGTATATGATATAAATTTTAAATTCATCAAAACATTTCACATGGCTTAAAATTTTTTTAAGTAGCTGTCACCTAGATTTTAGCTTTCTGGAGCCCAGGCAAAAAGGTTAAGTAACAGATCAGAAATCACTAACAATGTATTTAGGATTGTGTTTCTGCCCTGATTCATTATGTTATGCAGATAGTGCTTCTAGAAAAATTAGAATTGGTAACTATTTCCTAAAAACAAAACTAAACTGATCAAGGAAGTGACTTAGTGGATTGATTGTGCTTTGTAGTACTAACAGAAATGTACAACTGTAACCTTAGAAAGTTAGGTTCTTCAAACTATAAAAGATGAGTTCTGGAGAATATAAAGGCAATAAAATTCCTAGTTCTATACACAGACTTCAAAGCTTACACTTTACCCACCACTTAGTACTTAGAACAGTTGCTGGCATCTAAGAGTTGGTCGACAATTCTTTGTTTTTGAATGAAAGAGCAGCCTACGGCCATACCACCCTGAACGCGCCTGATCTCATCTGAATGAAAGAGCAGAAACCCAGACTATTAATATTAGGTAAAACAGTATTCTTTGAAACTTTGGAGAGGCAATTTAAGGACACAGACTAAATAGGTGAATGGATTCATAGTTTCGATAAATTTGTAGAAGATAACATAATAAGCCATCAAGAAGTTAAAAGGGATCCCTAACCTTTTGAAACTTAACTTTTGAGGAGACCACTACCTGATTCTCAAAGTATTTCCTGTTGCTAATGTATTGAAATAAATTGTACTAACCTACCATAGCAATTTCTATGGGTTATAGAAGGAATTAACTTTAGAGGGGAAAGAAGGAACTACAGATAGGGTCCATATAAATAATAGTCATAGAATATGAAAGGAAATAAATAATAAAAGTAAACCCATATATTTATGTCTGATGCCAGAGGGATTCTTGGAAGGAAAAAAATATATAACCAAAGGTTTATAATCCTGATTTATCTTTCTCTATTATGGGTATGTGTATAAGAAATGCTCTCTTATATAAGAATTAGAAATTCCCATTTATATTTTAAATTTCAAGGTAATTTGTTGATGTTAATTTGTTATAAATCTTAGTGAATGTCATTACAAAGTTAACCTGCAATATTGGAGACCTTTTTTCTTATATCAGCCAAAAGAAAAACTGAAAAATTATCTTAGTTTACAGAGATTTAAATGGAACTGTAATTTTTCTCTACCCTTAACCATATAATTTATATTGCAGAAATTGGAATGGGATTAACAGGATTTGGAGTGTTTTTCCTGTTCTTCGGAATGATTCTCTTTTTTGACAAAGCACTACTGGCTATTGGAAATGTGAGTTTTTCAATATATATTTTAACCTCGTAAGAAAATTTTAGCTACAAATGAATTCTTGCCTGCTATTAAATTTAGGGGAAATAATTCACTTAAATTTCTGTTACATTCTCTGTTTCCATCAGGAATGAAACCTGTTAGCTCTCTGTTTAAACAAGAGGTAAACACTTAATGAGGTTTTCTAATTCCATGACTACGTTAAGTGTTTGATTCATGATTTACAGTAAAATAAATCAAGGCTGCCTCTAAATAGGAGTTAAAAGTAGATGACTTGATAGCCCCCATTAAATATCTTTGAGTGTATATTACCATTGGGCTTTTAATTGCAAATTGGTAAATATAAAGGGTAACAAAATTGTTCAAAATTGATGTTTTAATAAATAATGTAAACAGCATTGGCATCAGAATATGAAGCTTAACCATTGACTTATTAATCAATATATATATGAAGTATTTTTCACTGAAGAAAGTTAATGAAGAAAGGCAAGGATTTGGGAATAAAACTTGGGGAAAAACAAGCTTCTAATAGATCACCATTTCTTGTCCACTGTCTGAAAACATACAAAATATATATGTATTTGAGAACACATAGCCATATTTTTATTACTGCTGTCACCAGATATTCTGGAGTTGATAAAACTGGAATCCTTCTCCTGGCTTTGCATGGTTTCTTCTTCCATCACCTTGGCCATGTCAGTATTTCTCCCATCCATAGAAGCTCCTATAGCCCAGGGTGAAGTGTGCAGACCAAGGATATATTTATGGGCAGCTTCCCTCTTTCGTCTTGCCATTCGTCTATTTGATTAAGCCACTGCCATCTAGCTTACCCTGGGAAAGTCACTGCTGGTGCAGTGCGGTTGGTAACTAACCTTTCCTCGTTTCTCTTTCTCTCCATTTACTCACGATAGGGAAGGATTGAGAAGAGCGGGGTACTGCTGCAGCTCTCACCATGCTTAGCCCACTCCTTGGTCTGCTTCTTGGTGTGCAGTGTAGTTTTCTCTGGCCAGTTGCCCATATTAAAAGCCAGATGTGCTCCTTTTTTTTAATATTTACCTTTGACAGTCAAATTTATGCAGTGTGCTTACCTACTTTTTCTATGTTGCATTTTATTTCTTCTTTAGGTTTTATTTGTAGCTGGCTTGGCTTTTGTAATTGGTTTAGAAAGGACATTCAGATTCTTCTTCCAAAAACATAAAATGAAAGCCACAGGATTTTTCTTGGGTGGCGTATTTGTAGTCCTTATTGGTTGGCCTTTGATAGGCATGATCTTCGAAATTTATGGATTCTTTCTCTTGTTCAGGTAAGGCACTCACTGCACTTTTTTCCTTTCAATAAAACAGTTGTCAAATAATTCCAGAAACCCAGATAGTTGCATCAGCATGAGTAAGAAGACTGTAGTTTTCTTGAATGGATTTTTGATAACACTAAATTTTTTATTATAGTTTTAGTAATTTAATCAACTATAAAATGTTTATCAGGTGTGAATAATTGCCTGTGTAAGGATATGAATTATCTTGTAAAGTATTTTTAATTTAATAAAACTCATTTTATTGGCCTTTTTAGGCACTTTCTTTATGTTTGCTATTTTCATCAACTAAAAGTGATAGATAGATCCAGCATTTTAATATGTAGAACCTGATACTGCATAGTTACTGCCACTTAATAGCAATTTCTTTAATGCTTATACATATTAGAAAGTTTTGTACTAAATAAACTGTGGGAGGTTTGAACAGTTAGTATTTTACAAATGCCAGCTACCGAGTGAACAATAGTATGCAATGTAAGAAAATACCTTTAAGTAAAATTGGTTTAATAATGTGTTAAAGGAATGTAAATATTTTGTCTTTTGTCTGCCAGGCATCATATTATCCACAGGAGACATAAATATGAATTAAGTGCCAAATCTGCTTTAGAGAATCTCTTTTCCAATATGGAAAATACATAAAGATACTAGTAGGATTATAGTAGTAATGCTGTTAAAGGTATATATGTAAATGTTATAAGAACATAATTAAGGAAGGAATCAAATCCTGGGAGAGGTGAGAAAAGTTAACTGAAGTTTGAAGTCTCTAAAATATTCAAAATTTTGACACATTCTTTTTACTTGGTTAGCAGTTTGCTTTGATAATAAAGTGTGCAAGTACAGACAACAGTTGTTTTCTTCTCCTAGGGGCTTCTTTCCTGTGGTCGTTGGCTTCATTAGAAGAGTGCCAGTCCTTGGGTCCATCTTGAATTTACCCGGAATTAGATCAGTAAGTAATCTGTATTTAAAGATATAATTTTTAAACCATCAAAATACTCTTTGATGCTCTTTACTTCCAGAAATTAGAGTAATTGACACATGATTGATGTTTTTGTTATAATATAAGTGGTTGCATCACATAGATGACAGTTACCATGAATACCAGAGAAAATCATCATTGGTAAATCTAAAGCCTGAAATTTTGTCTCACTGTACTCCTCTTTAATACTGTTCTCTATTTTTTAATACAACTCGGATTGATATGCTATGCTCCCTTTCACTTTGAGAGTTCAAGGTACTTTTCAGGTAACTTTTATATCATCTCTAATTTTAGAAGCAACATAAAATGACATCACTATTTCTTATTTTCTTTTTTAGACTAGCTCACCAAATGAGATGCATTAAGACAATTAAATGAAGCACTATTATACTGAAAATCAGATGATAAAATTCTGTCCCCAGCTCTCTCTGACCTATTTCTCCAATGTGGGGCTAAAGTTGCACATAGATTTTTGTAGATGTTTCTTGAGAGACAGTCCATAGCATGTACTGAATTCTCAAAGAACCAGAGGTACCACTATAAGCCTAATTTTTTTTTTTTATCCTCAAGTCAGTGGTAGAGTCAGAACCTTTCAGCCCACACAACCTACATATTAGAAGTTACCTTTGAAGAGAAAATGTGCTTTCTCACCACCTAAATTTACCTTAAAATTCTAATGAATCTATTAGTACTTTCAGAGCAACTTTTTGTTATAGTGTGCCAGTCACCTATTTGCCATAATATAAAATTTAAAAAAAAAAAAAGATGTTGGAACCTAGGGGTATATCCTGATTTCATTGGTATTAATCTCCAAACTCACAGTAGTCAGTGCTGTTTATACTTAGCATGGAATTAGTGAAACTTCTAGTTATAGAATTGTAATCATTATTCATATCCTTAATTTAAGGATTCTTCAGTATTTGCATAAATGGACACCCAAATTATGTGTCTTGTTATTATTACTTCATTATAACAAATGCTTAAGTGAAAATGTGAATAGTGCAATGAAAGAGTTAGGTGATTGCTAGATTTTGATGGTATTATAACCACTTTGGTTGCATGACTTTTAATATCTCCACTATTAGTTTGCTTTAATATTTGTTTGCATCACCATCTGGAATGCTGATGAAAGCCCAGTTGCTTTATATTTGGGGTGGGGTAACCAAAGTAAATAACCACTTACATATAAGTATGTTAAAATTATAAATTTATGATTGCATCATTACATCTATTTAAATGTCATTACCACTTTTCCATCTATAGTCCAGATACACATTTAAAGTATTTTTAGTCAGTAGCTGTTGTTAATTATTGTACTTAATGGACTTAAATCTGTTTGTTCAAAGACTACGTAGGCCCAGAAGAGATCCACAGTAATGGTCAGTTGAAATATCTTATTGGGTTCATTAATGAATGAATGAATGGCTGTGACATTTCAGCTTTTTAATTTTTTATTCTTTTGTTAAGCTATCAGTGTTAACTTCATTTTGTCCAATTTTTTTATTCATTGTGTTGTATTTCTCATGTTGCACCCTTAAAGTCATATGTGTAACATGTCGTGCAAAAATAACTTTTAGAAAAAAATTTTTTTTACACACATTTACATGTCAGAAGATGGTGGTGAGTAGTACTGGATTAATCATTGTCAGTCATACCTTAAATCTCCACAAATCTGATAAAGTGGGTTTTTAAATCAATATTTAAAATGTTGATATAACATTTTATAATGCTGAAGGCTTCTTTTAATTATCTGTTTTTCTTCTTGCAGTTTGTAGATAAAGTTGGAGAAAGCAACAATATGGTATAACAACAGTGAATTGAAGACTCATTTAAAATAGTCTTATTTATAAAGTCCTTTGAAGAATATTCATCACAGATTAAATTACATGAAATAGCTTGTAATGTTCTTTACAGAAGTTTAAAATGTATACCAACAAAGTACCAACAGCAGTTTACAAAGAAGCAGTGAAAACAGGCTTCTAATCAAGTGATGTAAGAAGTCAGCAAGCAAGCTGAAGGAGATGAAATCTGTTACAATGCATATTGAAACTCGTGAAGGCAATTTTTATTGTTTTTCCACAATATGCGAAACTCAGCCATCCTCAGAGAGCTATGGTGCCTGATTCTTTTTATCTTGAAGGTTCAGGAGCACCTGTAGGCATTTGCTTTTTAGAAATGTCCACTACAATTGGAAAAATATTTCCACTTGCACTGTGTCTCTGAAAGTGATGCATGAGTTAAATTGGATGATGTTACTTTAATGTATGAAAACCAAGGAAAACCCAGTTTTGATGTATGAATCACTTTTTTTTGGTAAACATGGTGAAAATAAAACTTTTGCGATTCTTCTGAATCTTAATATTTTAAAACCAGGTGAAAACCTGAACTAGGTATTCTCTGTTGGAATATGCAAAGGTCATTCTTTACTAGCTTTTAGTTTCTAAATTATAGCTGAGCACTTCTTTGGTCAGCAGTGCAACTCTGGAAATACTCTTACTTCTTGGGAGTCTAAGACTATATCTGTATCATTCATTACATGTAGGCATTTAACAAAAAGCATTCTTGACCATGAAGTAGTCTGTTACGTAACTTATTTCATTGAACAGCCTTTTATATAAGATATTGATTGCAAACCAAATGAGTTTTCCATGTCATGATGTAGATTTTTTTTATTTAAAAAAAAAATTAGCAGTGGTTATGTTTTTTACAAACTAAAATAACTAACTATTGGTAATGTTTACTTTAAGACTTAACATGTTAAAAGGTTCAACTTACAGCTATTTTTAAAGGCTATTCACGTAAGCTGAGTTTTCCCTTATTTTCAGCTTTTTCATAACATAAAAATCAATATGTATACTTCATATGATCACACTTCATCTTGAGCCATGGAGAAAATATCTGAGTTCACATGCTGAGGTTATTTTATTGTAATTAAATTGGTTATTTCTTAAAAATATGACACTAAAAAATGATGTGTTGTTCTTTTCTACCATTGCTGCTTGCCAGGCAGGCAGTAAGAAACTTGTTTCTTCATTAGTAGTTTTCTCCAGTGGCAACTTTTGTGGTAGATACAGGAACACATTTCAACAGCCATTGTACTATTTGTTTTACCACTAATGATTGCACTATTTACTTTTTTTTAAGTTACAAAGCTTTTTAATACATGAAATCATAATTGAAATTTGTGGTATATATTTACAAACGCCTACAAAATGTATTATACCTATGTTACTTTTAGTTAAATCTCTTGATGCACAGAGAATCCCAACCTTGCTCATTTAAAGAAGGAAAGACTTGGTGTATAATCTAATGGTTCAGTTTTGTGGATTACTGTCTTTTTGGTACTGGCATATGATTTATGACATAATCTGTGAAAAATAGATGATATTGACAAAATAAGACTCCTACCTCAATAGTTCATGGCATAAGAGACTTAGTATTGTGTCTAATGTTCTTCAAAAAAGTAATACCCTCACTTGGAGAGTGTCAAATATATACATATTTTGGGGACTGACTTATACAAGTTGCCCTGTAGGACTCTGTTATACATATTTTTGATTGACCCATACTATTTACAAAGGCTAAATAACTCTACCTTTTTAGAGCAAAACAGTGTCTGTTAATGTAAGGAACATCTGTATTATTTAACTCCTTTGTGGACATGCATATCTATCAAAATGTTCTTTGCACTGTAACAGATCTCTTTCAACAATGTTATTTCAGAAAGCATTATAGACAGGAATGTGTAAAGGATTTGCTAATCTCCCGATCCTTAGTAAGATAGAGAGGCTGGAGCAGTTTTCAGTTTTAAAGAGTCCATGGTTAATCTCAAATGTGAGTTTGAGACTGCATGGCAGCGTTGTATATTTCTTATTCATAACCATTGAGGAGGCTCTATTTTTAAACATACTAGTCCTCCACTATTTCAGTTTGTCTAAACCGTGTTGTTTCTTCCTTTCCAAAATTAGCCGCCTTAGTGACAAAAAAAAGTACTTTGATTATTGCTATAAAGATGGAGGAAAAGGTCTAATTCTACTTAGCCTTAAGTGTTTCTGTCATTGTTCAAATGTATTTTCTATAACAGAAACCTATTTGAAATGTTTTTCTTTTCCCCTTATAAATTGTAATTCCTGGAATACTGCTGCTTTTAAAAGTCTCACAGTCAGACTATGATTTAACCATTGAATATTGTAAATACACTTGTCTTCTCTCTCAATAAAAGGGTACTTTTCTATTAATCTGTTATTGTCTTAGTGAGCTGGACTACAACAAAACTCCATGGACTGGATGGCTTAAACAACAGACATTTCTTACAGTTCTGGATGCTAAGAAGTCTGAAATCAAGGTGCTGGCAGATTCAGTTCCTGCTGAGGACCCTTTCTCTTGCTTGCAGATGGCTGCCTTCTCATTGGGTCCTCACATGGTAGAGAGAAAGCCTATGGGCTCTCTTCCTCTTCTTACAAGGACACTAATCCATCATGGAGGGCCCCACCTTTATACTCTCAACTAAAACTAATTCCCTCCCAAAGGCCCCACCTCCAAGTACCATCATATTGATGTTAGGGCTTCAACAAGAATTTTGGAGGAATACACATTAAGTCTGTAACAGTGGTCAAATATCATCATTATGAGATTCTAAAAATTACTTTAGCATTATGCAACCCACCTTATTTTTTAAAAATTAGCCTTATATACAATTTTCTATTTTATAAAATGGTTATCACATCTTTCATTCCCAAGTTGTGTAAATGTAATCATAATTAGGAATGGACTTCAGGTAAACCAAAAAAGTAGGCAGTAAATTTAAAAATTAGTGAAGCAATGCTTAAATACTTTTTCCTCAAGGTAGAAGTAATATCTACTTGTATTAAGTATTTGTGACTTAAATAAAACCATTTAACGTCTGCAGTGTTTTGCTCACAAATTTTGGTAAGGCCATAGAAAACAAAAAATTTGCCAAGTCTACTAAAGTACCAAATAAGTGCTCGTTGAATCCAATTAAACTGCAAGTCTTGACTACTGTCTGATGAATTCGAAGTCTTGAATCTGTTATTAAGTATCCAGCATATCACTAACTTTCTCCTCAGGACTGAAAGGTTCCAACCTCTGTCCTTTTGCTACCTGTATCCATGTAGGAAGTTGTACACAGAAGTGGCATACCCCAAAATCCTCAATAGACTGACACTTTTTCATGACCTTACCTTTACTGCCTCTCAAGACGTAATTAAAAGGTCACCCCTATTCATCTTTCTCGACCCACTAGGCCAAAACAGCTGGTCCTTGAATCCTCATAGAACTTTCCACTTACTTTTTCTTTGTTTGGTTATGGGAAAGAGATTCTTGAGGTTCAAAGCCTTAAGTAAAAGGACGGTGGTAAAGATACTGGCCAATGAATGGGGAGTTTTATTTTGGATAGCAGGCCTCAGTGCCCCTAAAGCCCCTTCTAAAACTGGTACCCGTTTGGGGAAATTATTTCTTCTATCTGTTTGTGAAACAGCTGGCCTATGGGACAAACTGACCCTGGCACAGAATAAAGCCAAAGTAAGAGATTGAACCCAATGACTTCATACTATTTCAAAATCTCTATTCTTTCATCAAAGAAGAAATTTGGATATTTTAGTATCATTATAGCCATATTGCCCAGGTAACCTTACCCAAGATAGCTGTTTTCTATGTGAACACAATAATCTCTGACCTTGTAAGAACGCAGTTTCAACAGTGACAGTAACTGGTTTGTTTTTTTTGGTTTTGTTTTTAAATATATCTTTACTGATTTCAGAGAGAGGAAGGGAGAGGGAGAGAGCGAGACAGAAACATCAATGATGAGAGTCGTCATTGATGGGCTGCCTCCTGCACACCCCCAACTAGGGATCGAGTCTGCAACCTGGGCATGTACCCTGACTGGGAATCAAACCCCGATCTCCTGGATCCTAGGTCTACACTCAACCGCTGAGCCACGCCTGGCCGGGCGGCATTGTTAAAATTTGACCTGAGTCCGGCAGGGCGTGGCTCAGCGGTTGAGCATCAACCTAGGATCCAGGAGATCGGGGTTCGATTCCTGGTCAGGGCACATGCCCAAGTTTCCGGGCTCAATCCCCCAGTGGGGGGCGTGCAGGAGGCAGCCAATCAATGACGACTCTCATCATTGATGTTTCTATCTCCCTCTCCCTTCCTCTCTCAGAAATCAATAAAAATATATTTAAAAAAAAAATGGGACCTGAGCACCCTTGAGTCAACTAGAAAAATTCAAATAACATCAGCTATGCAGGCAAAATGGTCTTCACTGAATATGCCTTTTAAAAAGGCTTAGGATCCAATTTGTTCAATGCCCACTGCCTGGTCAGCAGAATAAATGTCAGCAGAATAAAATTCAGTGGTTTTACCAACTTTTTTTTTTTTTTTATCAAATAACTTTTCTTAGCCCATCTCTAGGTTTAGATCTGTAAAAATCTTAAAATTTTGTGATTTAACAAAAACATTTTATTGGAAGTCAGTGCCCTTTTAGAACAAACACATTCTGGCATGCTAATTTTGATAAGACTACAACATTGATAATCTGTCAAAGCCATTCTCTTCACTTGTGCGTATTATACTGAAAATGGCAGCTTTGACGTCAAGCATCCACTTGTAATTCATTAGCTAAACTTTTAAGCAAACTGCATTCATTTATTTTTCCTTAAAATTGCAAATTCAAAACACAGTTTTAGTAATGATTCATTTTCCTCTTCTCTTTATAAAACCTTTATGTGTCTTTAGTATAGAGAGACAAAAAAGGCTTTTTACTTGTTAGGTAACCTAGTAATTAGGTTTTACTTAAAAGTTCATTTAAATCAACACATGCATACTTTTATTATTAAATTGCTCTTGTTTGGAAATTAAATCCTAAAATTTAATATTTAAAGGAATAGTAAGATTTAATCTAGTTTTAGTGTTAACTTTTTGATCTTTAGTGTTTTGTTTTTTAATCTTTCTCCTCTCCTAAGACAGTGGAAAAGCACTACACTAAAAGCTTTGGCTCTTTCTTGTTTATTCTTTAAAGGGAGTAAATATTCCTTAAGTTTCTACTTTCTATATTCCATTCTCATTTACTAACCAAATGCCAATTTTCTGGTCTGCATGTGACCATGAAGTCTAAATATCAAGTGCCCCAATCCCAGTCTCTTATACAAAAAGATCTGCAGGTACCATCATCCCCTCAAACCTCAGTCCCCAACCAAACTATCTGTTCTCTCCCCATACTCTAATATTTCTACTGCTAGCCATTTCCCAGCCACACAGATCCTAAGGTTTACCTTTTATCACTTCTCATATCCTCTACAGCTTTACTATTCGAAATGTCCAACAATTGAGCAGCATGCAGCAGCATCACCTGGAAGTTTATTAGAAAAGCAGAATTTCAGGCCCCACCCCAGCTATACTGAATCAGAATCTGCATTTTAGCAAAATTCCTGGGTGATTCATTAATACCTATTACTTTTAGAAGAAAGGGACCATCTCCCTTATCCACTGTATCTTAGCCCGGTGGGTACTCGGGTCCTTGTTCAATATCTGTTTATATAACCGTTTCAACTGAATACTGACACACTTTGATCCTATCCTCTTGCCTTCTGTAGATTCCTTTCTGCAGTTATCCTGCGTCATCCCTTTCTCCTTCTCTGCCAATCGTCTCCATCAGCATACATGTCCTGCAAATGGTTTCCCAGTTGTCCTCCAGAGAAACCAACAAACAACTGATTTGAGTAAAAGAACTTCATTATAAGGACACTACCGGTGGTAACACCATCTTGGAATCTGCTACTAGCACTGCAGGCAGAATTGCCCCACAAACTCAAGCTTACCACAGCCAACACTGCACCAGTGTTTCTCGTGACCCCCACTTGCTTCAATTCTCGCTCCAGATTGCCCGTATGAGTGGGTACATCTGGCTGGTGAAGCCTGCATCATATGCCCACATCCTACCTGGAAGGGATGCTGGCATTTCTAGCTTCTACAATAAAAAAAGTCTCTGATTGCCCAGCCAGATGTGGCTCAGGGGTTGAGCATGGATCTAGGATCCAGAAGATTGTGGTTCGATTCCCGGTCAGGGCACGTGCCTGGGTTGTGGGCTCAATCCCCAGTTGGGGGCGTGCAGGAGGCAGCTGATCAATGATGACTCTCTCATCATTGATGTTTCAACTCTCTCTCTCCCTCTCCCTTCCTCTCTGAAATCAATAAAGATATATCAAAAAGAAGTCTCTGCTTCCTACCAAGTAGCCTAATTCCATAATTCATAATTTAGGAAATTTTAGGAATTCCCTAAAAATAAAAGGGTTCAGATGTTGTTGAGGCCCCCCAAAATATCACACTTCAGCCACACTCAAATATCTTATCTTTAAAAAATATTTGTCCTGCCCGGCCGGGAGTGACTCAGCGGTTGAGGGTAGACCTATGATTCAGGAGATCGTGGTTCGATTCCCGGTCAGGACACATGCCCGGGTTGCGGGCTCCATCCCCAATGACTCTGTCATCATTGATGTTTCTGTCTGTCTCCCTCCCTCCTTTCCTCTCTCTGAAATCAATAAAGATGTATTTAAAAAAAAAAAAAAAATTTGTCCTTTTCCCCTTTTGGTGAAATTCCTAAAACAGGTTGTCCACGTTTCTCTTTAATTCCTCATATCTTACTCAATTTCATCCCAATCCAATCTAGTTAATGTCCTCAAAAACCATCATATTCCCAAATCCAGTGTACACTTTTCCACTCTTATCTAGTCTGGCCTTTCAACACAGTGGATGGTCTCCTGGAATTCCCCCCTTCTGACTGCTTCCCCTCAACGTCCTTGCTGGCTCTCCCTCTGCCCATTCTCTGTATGTTTATTGTCATAGCTCCGTCCCTGCCTCTCTTCTTCAACTCCATTCACTCCCTAGGTGTTACCATTCACTGCCAATCTTTTTCCTGCCTTATAGTTCTCAGAAATCTTAAAATTCTGAAATCTGACAATTCTTGTCTTTAGAAAAATATCTACAGGCTGGTCACCTCTTTGCTGAGCTCTACAGAGTTTTGCATTTCCAATTCCCTACTTCCTACTTCTACTTGGATGTCTAACATACATTTTAATTTTAATATGCCCAAAAGACAACTCTTAAGTTCACTCTCTTAACTGCTTCCTTATGAAGCCTCTCCAATATATGGTTTCATCATTCACCCAGTGTGTAAGCCAAAAACCTAAGACTCATCCTTGTTTTATTTCTGTCACACTCTACTATCCATTTACCCACAAGTTCTATATTTTCTACCTCCAACCTGCAACCCAAATTCACTTACAGCTCTTCATTCTCTGCAAGTATCACCCAAGCCTAAGCCATCATCATTCCCTGCTTTTAACCATGTTACCAAATGAACTAGCCGATTGCTTCCTTTCCAACCTCATTTCAAAGTGCTGTCCAGGGTGCCCGAGCAACTGTGACTCCACTGGTTTTCTTTCTACTTCTCAAATAAGCCTAGCTCTTTGCCATCCCAAGATTCTGCTTTACTTTCTTCTGCCTGGAATACTAATTCCCACTCAGACTCATCCTATGTCTGATTCCACCTTATCCTTCCAGACCCCCCCTCCTCGATTTTTACCTTCTCTAAAGTAGCCCACCACTTTATCACATCATGATGCTTCCTTAAACTTTGTAACACATTTAAAACATTCGGTAATTACCTTATTTACCTGTTTACTAGTTTAGAGTATTTCTCCCCTGACTAGGAGATAAGATTGATCAAAGCAGAGATGGTGTCTTTTTAATGCATGGCTGTGTCCCTTAAACTAAAAGGAGGAATGTCTAATGCAACATAGGTATTCAACAAACATTTTTTAAATAATTGAATGGATAACTAAATGAAAAACTGATGTCAAATTCCACTGAGATGCCCTGACCTTTTCATTTCTGCCCAGATGATTCACAGTTAGTCATCAGTGTTAGCTTGATAGCTAGTTACCTGAACACCTGTTTTTTGGGTTGTTTTTTTTAACTTCATTCATTTAGTTTTGATTGTGCCAGAAGTTATTAATCATTTTCTTTGATGATGATGATAAAGAGGAAGAAGATGATGCTGATGATGACGATAACGCTTTGGAAAGTTAGTGGGAAAAGCAAAGGCAATAATGCTGATATTTTCAGAATATCTCCCGGTTGACTGGGTCAGTATCTAAACAAATCCTGTCCACCCATCAATCATCATTTCTCTACTTCCTGCAAGTGAATCTTCCTAGAGGAGTCATCAGATCCTCTCACTCTTGACTGACAAGAAGTCCCTGTGGATTCCCTGACTCTACAGAAGTGTCAAGGAGGGGTCCTTGACTCAGACTTTAAAAGCCTCACTTTCAGAACAAGATTGGAAAACTCACAGGTGAAGTTATAGTTATCACAGGTTCTGGAAAGGAGGAAAACATGAAGGCAAGTAATGGTTTTATTTACTTAAGACTTAAACTACTTTACAAAAAGCTCTATAGCTTTTTACCTATTGTATGTTTAATAAGCATTTTAGAGGATATTTCAACCATATGCCGTAACATATTAGAATCATTTGATATTACTAAGGAGAAAATTCACTTATTCACACAGTTTATCATTTGGATTAAATAATGAAAATCTATTTCTAAATTTATTTTTTTTTTTAAAGAGAACTCTTGTGGATTAACTAAAAGGCAGACTGCGGAACCTTCCCCCTTCCCATACTATTAAAAGAAAACAGAGCAAAAAGGAAGGGGTTTGCGATTGCTGGGGCGTCAAGGAAGAACGCAGAGGTTCCTACAGGCACAGAAATGACCTTCTTTGAGGGATGGTTTCTTGTAGGGACTCCGAGGTCTGGCGGCCACAGCCCTGGCTCTCCTCCTGGTGTTCTCTCTCCTGGGAAATTCCAGCGCTGCACCAC